TCATGAGAGGTCTATGTGCGAAGTTTGGTCCTGATCAGTCATTGGATAAGGTTAACAGCGGTCTCAGAATGTGAGTGGTGGTACTGCAAGTCCCATCATCCATGGTTCATAGTCCTCCAAACTGCAGTAGGATGTAGAGTGGGTGATGGGGGTCTCTGTGTGCCTATTTCGGTCTGTATTGGTAGTGTTCTGACCCAGCCCCCGGCCTTTTCCTTTCCTCTCTTTGTTATCTCGGAATCTTCGAATTGAGGCTGGCCAATCAGAGACCATATGCAAATTTCCTTCTCATGTCCCCGTTTCTGTCATGAACTCTTTTCTCCACCAGGGGCTCCTCTTGAAGCTGGCCAATCAGAGACCATATGCAAATAGCACCGCTGCCCAGCCAATCGGAATCTTTGAACTTTCAGGCTGGCCAATCAGAGACCACAGTGGCAGCCAATCAGAAAGCGAGCACATACACCGCCACACTTTTGTCCTCCGCATACAAGTTTTGACTTTTATTATATATATAGATATAGATTATTCATGCATTGTTGTCCACTAGCTATTAGGCTTGGAGCCGGATCAGTTTGACGGAAAGTGATTTGTAATATTCAGTGGTCCATTTCGTATAATCCCCAAAAATTGAACAGGAAGGAGGGAACAGAAAGCTGTACAAAACAGATCAAGAGAGCTGGATTTATCAGCTCCTGTAAAGGGTGGAGTTAAGACTGGATTATACCTGAGGCAGAGGTCTGCTGTGGGTCTCCTGGAGAAGATCCTACAGTGTCTTTTCTCCCTCCCTGACAGTGGAAGATTTTCCTAGGCTCCTTCTCCAGAGAGGGCTCTGCTAGGAACTTGCTTTTCCAGCAGCACTTCCATGGCTTGGGCACTGAAAAGTCACTGAGTTCCTCTCAGAGCATGATGGGAGTTGAAGTTTTTCTTTGTGTGTGTTTCTCAGCCAATAAAAGGCCTGGTTGTGTCCATGCTCTGATTGGCTGGGAATGGACACAACCAGTGACTACAATTCCCAGAACTCTCTCTTGTGATTTGTCTTATTTTAAAAAATTTTATGGTAAAAACTTAAAATAATTCTAAGAAATCAGTAGATTGGTGAATTGTTTTGAAACTTAAAATGGAGTCTAAAATTGAGGTAACTTTCATGCAGATAGGCCTTAACATGGCTGAGGATTTAACTTTTAAAATTTCCCATTGTAGCCAATGGGCCAAATCTTTGCCGAATGAAAACAGCAACAGTCCTCCCCATTTGAATGAGTTCCCGGTAAGCAAAATGGAGCCTGAAACAGCATGGTTTTTGACTGAATTGCACAAATCTACTAGCTATGTGTAGTGGTGTGCATTGCCAGATGCTTGCCATGGAATTAGAGAAGGTTACAGTTCAATGATTAAAGACACGTCTTGCATGCAGAAGCCAAGATTTTACATCATGCTTGCATAGTGTTCATCTACACTACTTAGAACATACACAGTTCTGCTCCCAGTTTAACTGACCCTTTGCATTACCACGGAAGCAAAAAATTGGCCAGTTCTTTCATGGGATTCATGATCTTAGAGGTGAAATTGAGAGAAAATCATGTATATTCCATTTTGAAGAAAAAGAGCAAACTTCAATGAACAAAAATGAAATACTTAGGGTAACTAGCCTGATATATTAATCCCAAAAATGATATGATTATTACATTTAGCTAAACACAAATCTGTTTTCTTCACAAAGAATGTCAGTGCCCATCTATATATCTTGAAACAATTTTGTAGCATTTGAAAGTCTTTATAGACCCCTCTTTCTTTCTTCACAATTGAAGTGTTAGATCTCTCGAGTATTGAAAAGATCAATGTGAACAAGAGTAGTTAACAGACATAAACACAGAGAAAGATCTATCATAACAAGCTGTGACAGTGTGAGTTTATTCTGCTCACTCTTAAGTACACAGGTACATGGAGAGTTGCTGACCTCCTGTCAACATCTCATCTAAGCAGTCCAGCTTTTCAGAGAAGAGATGTTTCTGAGATTGTACCATTTATCTGATAGGCTTTCTTCTTGCCCCCATGCCCCCTGTCTGCACAGAGGACACAAAACTTTAGAAAATTAAAGCTTAAAAAAGTTAAAATAATTTTCCTTTAAAGTAAACCTCTTTCTTATGCCTGGCAGACACTGCTTGGAGCCCTTTCTGCCAACAGCAAATCTATACCGGTTCAGTTAATAAAAGCAGCTTTTAGTCTCTTATAGTTTCATGACATAGGAAAATGGTCAAAAATAAATTGGTTCATTGCAACTAGAGTTTGAATCAGCTGATGAATATGAAGTCAACATGTACATACTCCACTGACTCAATGGGCCTAGTCTGGGTCTGACTAACCCAGACTAACCCAGAATCTCCTTCTGGTGATTGTGCATGCATTGGAATATTATGCATCTGTGGGCTGTCCACATTGTGACAGAGGAGTAACATTTCATTGCCTTTTCCCACACATGCCAGTCTAGGGGCCCATCCAAACAGTACCTTTATCCCAGGAGCTTCTGCAGCAAACAGGAAGGTGGCCAGATGTCATTCTCTGTAAACGCGGAAGTGCTTGCTACAAAAGGCAAAAAATGTGAGATTTCCAGGTGTGGGAATATTTATTTATTTATTTATTACATACAGGCTCAGCGATGAGTGCCCGATTGCTCTCAAACTGCGAACCTGTGTCTTCAGGGTGAGTGTAACCCCATCTAACACAGGCTGTAACCCTATCCCCTAGGGCTGGGCAACGACAGAAAAATTTGTTTCTAAAATCGATTCGTTTTTTGGGTGTTTTTGCGTT